AGTAGTAATAATAATAATAAGGAAATAAGTATAAGTTGTAATAACGGTAGCAGTAGCAGCAACAAGCAGTATAATAGTAATTAATAATTAGTCTGTTGTCAATGAATGATAAAAGTATAGGGATATAATGAGAGGAAATGCTTGAAGTTTTGAAAGCTAAACTAAGCAAAGTTAAGCAAGCCTAGGGTCGTTGTTGGAACATCTGAGATGTTTCGTGTTGTTAGAGGAAATTGTCAATCGATACCCCTAATGGATCTTAAGAAAAGGATAGTAAGGAGGGGAAAAATGATGTGGTGGGGCGGGAGAGGGGAAGGGACGGGGGTGTTAAGAATGAAAAAGGAAAGAAGAGGATAAATGAGAGTTAAGTTAAAAAGGAAAATAGGAAGGGAACGGTCCTATGAATACTTCCTTCTAGTCCTCCTCCTCCTCCTCCTCCTCCTCCTCCTCCTCCTCCTCCTCCTCCTTCTCCTCCTCCTCCTACCTCTTCTCCTCCTCCTCATTCTCTTTATCCCCTCTCCCACCTTTGCTTCCACAATTTACCTCTTTTTATATGTATTACTTCTTGTCATTCATCCCCTCCTCTCTTCTTATCATCACAACTTCTTGTCATTCATTCCCTCCTCTCTTCTTATTATCACAACAAATCGTTGCTTAAAGAGAGAGATCTGATAAAGTGCAGCTGATTTGATTAAATTGCTCCCTCTTAATGACTACTTCAAGTTCATCTAATTATACTATCACTTCTGGTATCTCCCATTAATCCATTTATATTTTGGCATCATTTTTATGGCGCATTCCATTTATCAATGATTATTTATCAATTTGGATATTTTAAAAAGTATTTATCCGGGAATTTGACAGAAGTTCCGCTTTATTTTTCTACAGATACAGCTGCCGCTCGGCAATCGGGCTTTCGCACTATGCATAACACATTTAGAGAGGAAGAAGTAGCTTGATAAGGAAATGAAGCAGATAGATGTGCATAATTATCAAAGAATTATAATTAGCAAATCATATTTGGCCCGTAAATTTTTTTTTTTTGGTAGTAAAAA